CCCGTGCGCGGGTCGACACCCCGCACGGCCCCGCGCCGCGCCGCGCCGCGCCGCGCCCGGCCGCTTCGTGTCCACGGGCACCGTCCAGCCAGCCCGTGTGTGTATGTGCACGCGCCTTGCCTGCGTGGATGTGGACATACAGGTGGATAGAAGTGTGTGTGTGTGTGTGTATCTACGTGTATACCTACGCGCATGCATATATACATTATATATATGTGTGTGGATACACGCATAGAAATATACATATATATATTTATATGTGTATCTACACATACATGCGCAGCACCCCCCCATATTTATAGCTATATCTATATATCTGTATCTATGTGCGTGGATGTGTGTTTGTGTATATCTATTTGTATATACACACATATACTCGTGTATACGTATATATATGTGCGTGTATATACACACACAACTATATAAGTATACGCGTGAATGTGGGGGTGTGTATATATCTAAGTCTGTATGTGTATAGATGTATACATTGATACACACATCCACGCATATATACATATACGTGCGTGTGCATGGCTGGGTGTATATAAATACCCACGGACACACATGTGCTCGGCTGTATATACAGCCAGGCAGAGCACAGGCTCAGGCCCGCGGAGGGGTCGATCCGGACGCGAGCGCTGCACGGCCGGAGGCGCGGCGCCGGCCGGAGCGGAGCGCTGGGGAAGGGCACGGGCTCTGCACCCTGGCTGTGCTGTCCTCGGTGGCCGGCTGCTCTGCCCGCCGCGCTGACCCTGCTCCCGTGTGTCCCCCGCTCTGTCTCCCCCGCCAGGTGTTTCGGGACCAAGTGCGCGGGCTGCGCGCAGGGCATCTCCCCCAGCGACCTGGTCCGGAGGGCGCGGAGCAAAGTGTTCCACTTGAACTGTTTCACGTGCATGATGTGTAACAAGCAGCTCTCCACCGGCGAGGAGCTCTACATCATCGACGAGAACAAGTTCGTCTGCAAAGAAGATTACCTGAGCAACAGCAATACCGCCAAAGAGAACAGCCTGCATTCAGGTGAGCGCCGCCCTGCCCTGCCCTGCCCTGCCCTGCCCTGCCCTG